GGAGTAAAAGGGACCGGAGGGGACGGAAAGGGGCAGGAGAGAACCAGAGGGCATGGGAAGAGCTGGGAGGGGCCAGCAGGACCCCCGCCTGTCCCACTCACGTTCTTGAACTCGCGGAAGGGCACGAACTGGACGATGTCGCGCAGGACGGGCTCGCCCTTGGGGGAGCGCAGGACACCGTCGTCCCCGTCCAGGATCTGCATGTCGGTGAAGTCGGCGTTGCCTACCCCGACGATGATGATGGACATGGGCAGGTAGGAGGCCCGGACAATGGCCTCCCGCGTGTCTGCCATGTCTGTCACCACCCCGTCCGTCAGGATCAGCAGGATGAAGTATTGCTGGGGGGACAGGGATGCTCTGGGGGAGCTGCCCGGCCCCACACGGGAGCACCCACAAGTGTCACGAGCATGTGGGGGTCTCAGCCCAACCTGATGCCCCAGTGGGACCCACCGACGCTTCCTTGGTCCGCTCCTCATCGGCCGCCACACGAGCCACCTTGGTGATGATGGGAGCCACGTTGGTGGGGCCGTAGAGCTGGATTTTCGGCAGGCAGCTCTGATAGGACTCTACAACACCCTGGATGCCTGCGGGGGTGTGAGAAGTGAGAAGGGACACCCTGGCCATGGACTGGACCCCGCTAGAGCTGGACTTACCCTCACACTCATCGTTGTCGGGGTTGAAGTTGATGGCGAAGTCGTGGGAAACCTGGAGGGCAGGAGAGGAGGGGGCAGCTAGTGCCCACCCCCCACCTGCTGAGCCCTGCCAGTGCCAGGGCCTGGGGTGTCTGGAGGGATGAGCACATCCCTGGAGTCCCACAGGGCCCTGGCGCTCCGGCCACCTCTCACCTCATACTTGGGGGGGATCCTGGCACCAAAGCCCAGAGCTGAGAATTTCTTATCACTGCAAGGGAAGGGGTGTGAGGAACTCTGGTGCCATCAGCGGGTGGCCATCACCAGGGCATCTGACCCCAGGGTGGCCATCACCATGGTGTCTGGCCCTGGGGACCCCACCAGAGCGACCAACCTGTCATAGTCCTGGCAGATCTCACCCACAGCAACCAGCGCCTTGAGGTACTCGTTGGGCTGGTAGGGGTTGATGTAGTGCAGGGAGCAGCTGTTTCGGGGGTCCCCGTTGGAGGCTGTGAAGTCGATGGCGACCTGGGGTGGAGGGGGGGCAGTGAGGGTTCCCCCAGGGTGAGCCAAGCCACTAGCATGTCCCTGCTAGTGAGGGTGAGGTGGGGGACTCTGCTCACTGTGAAGTGGATCTGGCAGCCGCCCATGATGTAGTCCAGGAAGGAGTAGACCCTGTGGATCTTCCAGAGGGACTCGCATCAGCTGGTCCTGCCCCACACTGGCCCACGGAGCCAGGCATGGCTTGGCTCAGCACAGCTCGGCACAGAATGCAGGCACTCACCTTCAGGTCCAACAGCACCACAACCCCCGAGTTCTTGTAGTTGCGCTTCTTGATCTTGTACTTGGGGTTCATGCAGTCCCACTGCACCTGTGGCACACGCGGCACCCGCGCTGCCTGCGGCCCCTGCCCTGGGACCCCCATCCCTGGCACCCCTCAGGCCCCCCGTCCCATGGCTCTGCATAATGGTGACCCAACAACCCCATAACGTTGCAGCCCCGTAACCCTGCAGCCCCCCATGGCTCTGCAGCACAATGACTCCACAGTCCCAGAATATTGTGGCCCCATAAAAACACAGCCTCACAGCTCCACGTCTCTGGTCTCTGCAGCACAGTGATCCCTCAACCCTGAAGCACCATAACACTGCCTCCCTGCAGCCCCTCAGCCCCACAATGCTCCAGCCCCATGGTGCCATGACCCACAGCCCCATAGTTCTATAACCTCATAACCCCACAGCCCCATAACCCTGCAACCCCACAGCCCCAGGTCGCAGCTGCCTTCCCCCACTCCCAGCCACCCCCTGGGCTCCAGCCACCTCATTCATGGCTGATTCCCCAGAGGACCCCAAACCCACCATCCCTTCCCCAAAGAGGTGGGCAGCAGCAAGGAGAGAATGACCCCCAACCCAGAGGAGTTGCTGGGAGGTGCCTGCTGGGATGGGCTCTGCTGACAGCATACAGGGGTGACCCCCAGGCTATCCCCGTGTCCCCATGTCCCACCTTGTTCTCCCCCATCGCTTTCTGCATCTCCTCAAAGGTGGTGAAGAACTCCCCGATGAAGTCGTGTTTGCCCCGTGAATCGTAGTCCCACACCACACCCTGCAGTTGGCATGGCTCAGCCCCAGCACCAGGGGGTCCCCAGCACTGTCTCCAGCACTGAAGGGTCCCCAGCACCACCCCTGGCACTGGGGGAGTCCCTAGCACATCCCTGGGGAAGCCAGGGTACAGGTACCTCCGGGGCAGGGATGGGGGTCCCCATCTCCCTTCCTCACCCTCAGCTTCCTCTTCTCCTCACAGCTGCAGAGTGAGTTGAGAGACACCTTGAAGGGCTCCCAGACAGGGCTCAGGTTGTTCTTCACCACCTGTGGGACAGGGAGCTCAGCAGGGCTGGGGAGGCCCCAGGGTGGCTGTGGGGCAGCTGAGGGACCGGCCCTCTGGGGCCTCACCTCAGTGCGGTACACGAGCTGCTCGCTGCGGTCGTCGTCGATGCGGTAGATCTCCAGGAAGGGATCCGACTTGCTGAAGAGGTCCTGGAGAAAGAGGAGGGGACAGAGCACTGCCTACCCTGCCTGCCCTGCCCCATGTTCCCCCCGGCACCTGGCTCACCTTGTCATCCAGCTTCTTGGCGCGGAAAGCGAGCTCCACGTAGCCGTTGTTCCCTGAAATCTCCTCGGAGATGATCTGCGAGGAGAGGCAGCCGCGGGGTGCTCAGCATCTGGCACGGCTTTGTCCCCTGCCCCCCTGCCCCCCACCTCCCTGTGGTGCCCCAGGAGGAGACAGGGTGCCACGTGCCTTCCTTGGGGCAGCAGGAACCCCCCGTGGCCAGCAGACACCAACAGGGACTCTGAGCCCTCCTCACTCCCAAGAGCCCGAGGGGTTGCAGGGCTGGATGGCATATCAGACAGGAGGAGGGGCACTGGGGACCCTCCATACGCCCCAGCTCAATGGCACCCACAGCCCAGTGACAGCCCACTGATCCAGCCCAGATGTCCCTGCTTGATGCCTTCCCAGCATCCCAGTCCAGTGCCACCCATGTGTCCTGTCCGGTGTCACCCTAGGGTCCCAGGTTGGTGTCACCTCAGGGTCCCAGTCCCTTGTCAGCTGTGCACCCCATCCCAGTGCTAATCCAATGCCCCAGTTTGGTGCCACCCCAGAGTCCCAGCTTGGTGCCACCCCAGGGTCCCAGCCTGGTATTTCTCCAGTGCCCCTACTCAGTGCCACACCATTTTCACCCCCCGGTGCCACCCCCAACCCAGGCTCGGTACTCACCGTGATCGTGGACTTGCCTGCGAACTTCCCGTACTTGAGGAACAGCGGCTTCGTCACCCGTTTCTGTGCCACGATCTGCGAGAGCCCAGGGTCGGGGAGGGGACACCATGGAGGGGGTCCCCGGGTGGGGGTCCCCGGGCTCACCTGCCCCACGGTGCACTCCATGCCCCCCAGGAAGTCATCGTCGTGCGTGCCCACGCCGGCGTGGCCATGGCTGTCGTACACCTCGAACCGCAGCTTCTGCACCTCCTCGAAGTAGTAATCGACCGTGAAGATCTTGGCGAACACGGGGTTCAGGTTGCTCTTGATCACCTCGCTGCGATCCACCTGCACGGGAATGGTGCTGGGCTGGGGCTGGGATGGGCACAGCTGGAGTTGCCCGGGCCTTGAGGTGCCAGAGCTCACATCCAGCTGGGAATAGGGATGTGGGAGCCCAGGGGGAATGGGGGTGTAGGAAGGTAGGGATGGGAGATGAGGAATGGGGGCTGCTGGAGTGGAGGATGAAGGGAGGGGGATGCTGGGATGGTGGATACAGGGGTGAGGGATGAAAGGATGTGGGATACAGGAATGGGGTGTGCTCAGACAGGGGATAAAAAATTAGGGATGGGGAGGGATGGGAGGTGTAGGGATGAAGGATGGTGGGGTGAGAACGCAGGGACAGGGAATACAAGGATGGGAATACAAGGATGGGGGATGAAGGGATGGGGTGTGCCAGGAAAGACCAGCCATGCCTAGGCACTTCCCCACACCCAGGTGAATGGCATTTGAAGGAGCCCCATGGGCCCTCACAGGTTCCAGCCCTGCCAGCCCCAGGTCCTATGATCTCCCCTCTCCCCAGGCTCCCCATGGTCATCCAAGGGGTTCTCTAGCTCTGACTACACTTTGCCACGGCTCCACTGGAGCAGAAGCAGAGTGCTGGTGCCAGGATGAGCCTCTGTGTCCCCACCCTGGGGTGGCCATGGCTGGGGGTCACCAGCCCACAGCCCTGGTGGATGCTCAGCATGTCCCATCCGTGCTTGGCAGCAGGTGCTGAGCAGTTCCAGAGCCTCCCCCACACCCATCCCTGTCACTGTTGACTCAATGGGACACATCCTAGACACCCCTGCCAGCTCCTGGCCCCTGCCCACCACCTCTCCAATCTGGCAACATCTGCTGAGCCTGCACCACTGTCACACTGCCAGGGCCACCCATGTCCCTCCTGAGTGGGCACTGCCACACCCTCACCCTGGGAAGATGGGTTTCAGGCACCCTGAACCCTCCAGCACCAGCCGCTGCCAGAGAGTCCAGGGTTGTCTCAGCGCTCAGTGCCAGAGCCAGAGTCAGCCACACCTCGGCCAGGGGACACGGGCTGGCAGGGACAGGGAGGGAACAGGGCATGGAGTCACTACAAAAGGTGGCCCAGGAGGGACCCTCTTGCCTCTTGGTGCTGGCTGGCGTATGGCACAGCACAGCATCGCATGGCATAGCATGGCACGGCACACGGAGTGTGGCACGGTGGGGTACAAGGGTCTGGCACCACATACACACGGCAGCTGGCACGGGGCCACTGTGCCGCCCCGGCCCCTCGCTGGCTCGAGCGGAGTCGATGACACGCCGAGGGATTTAGCGCTAAATCCTCTGGCTGAGCGGCAGTGATTAGAGTGGAACTGCAGACGCCAGCCAGAGCTCGGCATGGGGAGAGAGGAGAGAAGCTGTGCCAGCCCCAGCACAATTCCAGTGTCTGCCAACCCCAGTGCCAGCTTCAACACCAGCCAGGGCTCAGGGGATGACCAGGGACCCCCATAGCAGAGCTCACAGCTGCGGTGCCAGCTCTGACTCCCTCTGAGCTGCCCGCCCCACACAGGATGACACCAGCCCACCAGCCCTGAGCCACCCCAGAGATGGCTGTGGTGTCCTTTGCCCCTGTCCCAGGGCAGTGGAGCTGCACTGGAGCCGCCGTAGGCACCCCACCCCAGCCCTGCCACAGCCCTGGGGGGCTGGATCTGATCTAGTGTCAGCACTGACCCCATGGGCTCCTGGGTGCCCCACAGTGCCCTGCCCTGCCCTGTGAGCTTCATGCTCTGTGCCCTGCATTTGGACACCCTGTGTCCTGCTCTGTGCCCCACACCTTGTACCCCTCACTGAGCTCTGCACTGTGCATCCAGCAGCCTGTGTGCACCCTGTACCCGGTTCTGCACCCTGGTCTGAACCCTGCACCTGGTTCTGCACCCTGGTCTGAACCCTGCACCCTGCTCTGCACCTTGCACCCCGTTCTGCACTCTGGTCTGAACCCTGCACCCCATTCTGCACCCAGCACCCTGTTCTGCACCCTTACACCCAATTCTGAACCCTGCACCCCATCCTGCATTATCTCCTGCACCTCACACTGAACGCTGTACCCTGCTCTGCACCTTATTCTGCTCCCTACTCTGCATTCTGCACCCAGCACCCTGCTCTGAACCCTGCACCCCATTCTGCACCCTGCCGTGCACCCTGTGCCCTGTTCTTCACTATCTCCTGTACTCTGCTATGGACCCTGCAACCTGGTCTGCACCCTGTACCCATTATCTCCAGCACTCTGCTCTGCACTCTGTACTCCGCTCCCCACCATCTCCTGCACCCCACTCTGCAGCCCCCCGTGCCCATCACCCCGTGTCCAGCACCCACCCACGTGCACCCATCACCCTGTGCCCAGCCCCATCATTTCCCCGGTGCCTGCCCTACCCCCTGGGAAGGGTGCTGGCAGTGCCCCCCATGCTCCTACCTCCATCCACTGGCCCTGGGACTGCATCAGGAGCAGGACGCAGGGGTCTGACTTGTTGAGGGTGTCTCGGTCCAGGAGGTGTTTGCAGCTGACCCGCAGCTCCACCTTGGAGAGCACGGCCAGCGGGGCCTGCGGACACAGCTCGGGCACGGCACCCATGCCAGCTGGGGCGCGGGGGGCGGCCAGCCGGGCCGGGGGGCACGCAGCCCCGTGGGCGAATGGCATCAGGGCCGAGGGCGGCCGCTGCCTTCGGTGCCGTCAGGGGGCCGGGCAGGTGATCGTCATGCCCGGGGCTCGGTGCCCCGCGGTGTCAGGGAGGTTCCTGGGGGCAGCACAGGGGTGGGGTGCTCCGGGGGTTGGAGGGACCCCGCAACCTCCTCCGGGGCAGGGTGGCTGGGTCCAGTCAGGATGGCTCCGTGGGACTCTACAGGGCATCAAAGCACAGTGGGGTGAGCAGGACCTGGGGCACTCTCATGATGCTGCCCATGTACCCTCAAGTGCCAGCCAGACCCGTGGGCTTTACTGTGGGGGGTTCATCCCCCAGCTGCTTGGGCTGACCAAGGGACCCACAGGGCCATTCTCGGCTCTGCCCCAGCCCCACCTCAGGGACAGGATGTGTCCTGTGGGGAAGTGGGACCTGAGTGGGGCTGGGTGGCTGTGCAGGACTGGGGTTGTGCAGGCAGCCCTGGGTACCCACTTTGGGGTGCCTTGAGTGGAGCTGGGGAGCAGAAACACCCCCCTGTCCTTTCAGGCAGCAACCCCCAGCCTGGACAGGGCTCTCTGGGAGGGCAGTGAGGACACCAGCTCAGTGTCCCTGTCGCCGGGTGATGGATCCCTCTGAGGCTGGTGACTCCCAGCCAGGTGATGCTGCATGATGGGGTATAGAGGGGCTCTGCCAGTCCCAGCCCAGGCTTGTCCCCCACCTGCAGCCCCAAGGGTGGTTGGCTGGGGCAGGGGCAGGTGCAGAGCAGCCCCTTGGCCACCTCTGCCCCCACATGCCTAGCCCAGCCAAAGTTTCCTGGTGCAGTCATGCATTGCCCAGGCCCTCCCTGGCACTTGGCTCTGGTGCCCCCAGCTCCGGGGGGCATCATCCCCCTCCCAGGATCGCAGGCACTCCTTGGAATCCA